AACTAATTAATCAAGATGTTAAACAACAAGATTGTTGGTCAAGTGAAATAGTCCATATAAGATTGACATCTTGATTATTTTTTTTTCTTTTTGGAAAGGATTGGGCAGTGGAGATTGGAATGTCTGGAATGTACAGCTGAAACTAAATCCTATGGCCTTTGTGCTCAAGGTTGGATCCTAATTCTGATGATTTTAATAAAGGGAATTCATGATCTTGCTTTTGTCATTTTGGGAAAATCCTGGATAATTTTCAAGGTAAAAAAAAAATCTCCTGATAAAATTTAAGGTTTTTTCCTTGCATTTCCCAGTGGACCCAAAGGAAACTTAAACTACGTAATTAGGATATGATGCCAGCTACAGAAGTGCAGCCTTTGTGATCAGCCTGTGAGATGGGGTAAGGCTCAGGGAAACACCTGGGCTGGGGGGGTTAAAGTCTTTGAGACTTTGGGTTCTTGTTTCTGAGGAAAGAGAAAGAACTTTTCCCAGCACTTTGAATCATCATCATTAAGGCCCTGTCTCTGCTAGTGTCCTTGCTGGGAAGAGCATATCCTCCTTGAGCAGATGTCAGGAATGTTCTGGGACACTTGTCTCAGTCCATCCTGGGGCTGACACTCCCTGTGCTGCTCTCTACTCCAGGATAGTCTGCAGATAGTTACTTGGGTTGTATAAGGAGAAGGCAGTTGGGAGCACCAAAAAGCCAGGATGCTGTGACAGAAACTCGAGACCCTAAATTGGAAAGCTGAAACTTAGGGGTGCAGAACTGGAAACAACTGGTGGAGCTGATAACGTTCCTCCCATACACCTCCTGCACAGCACCCGGTGCTCCCTTGTCCATCCTTTCCCCTTGACTCTGTTGGTCTCCGCAAACACGCTCCTGTCTCGGTTTTCCATCAGCCACGGCGCTCCTGCTGCTGCCAGGGAGACAGGATGGCTCGGGCGCCCTGCAGTCACTTGGACAGCTTGGCTCATGCCCGGCCAGGCGCGCCGTGACCCCCGGCATCTGCTCCTCTCACAGGTTTTGGATCCGCACTGACTCCTGCGAGCATTCTGCTCCAGAGCCCCCGTGCTGCTCCGCGAGCTCCAGGCGGGGCAGTGGTGCCGTGGGCCCATCGGGACACCCTGGCACAGGCAGGCCGAGGGCCCTGCATGCAGGGGCCCATGGCACCATCAACACAGGGCCATAGGCTGATTCAGCTCCCAGAGCAGAGGCCTGTCCCGGATCCTGACGTTCCCAACTTGAATTCTTGCTTAACAGCATTGTCGGCTTTGCTTGATAAATGCCTTGTAGACTTTCCTTAATAAGCAGTGTGAGGAGCTATGTTTGCAATCTCTTGAAATGCTGTTTCTGAAAACAAAAATGCCCCTTCTCCATTTTCCTGCTCTCTTTTATTAGTGAAATTTTAAAATTAGCAGGTGTTGGGAATTTCTTCAACTTTAAAATTAATCATGTGAAGCTAAAAGAAAATTGGATAAATATGTGGTAATTTCTTGCTGAGTGCATTTTACTTGATGTGTAATGCCTTGCTGTTTAATTCTATTTGTGAAATCAGGCCATAGAGCTTCAGGGCATTCTTAAGCTTCCTTTGTGCCAGTTTTAGTAATGCCTTCCCTTGGTTTATCGATCTGAATTAATCTGTCGTGCACTACAGTTCACTTGTGCAGTCTCTAACGTTAGTGTGAGGAGCATGTTAAGGATTTCATCCCAACATTCCGGCCGTTCCGAGCCGCGGGCACGCGACCGGACAGCAGGGGGCGCCGTCGCGGCCTCCACACGGGACGGCGGTCACGTGGCGGTCACGAGGAGGTCACGCGGCCGCGCGCGCCCCCCTTGAACCGAGGTACGCGCCGCGAGGCGGGAAGCGCGAGCTTCGCCCCGACCGTTAGGCGCGTGAGGGTCCCCTCAGGGGCGAGGCGGGAAGCGCGAGCGCTGCCCCTCAGGCGCGTGAGGGCCCCCTCAGGCGCGAGGCGCGAGCCCCGCACGTCCCTTCAGGCTGTTCTCCGAGGCTCCGTCTGGATTTTGTCTGTAAGGAAGCTTTACGTGCTGGGGAAGGGAGGGAGCGATTTATCCCTGGAGAGCTACAGCCGTCCCTGGCTTGTTGCGGTAAATGTAATGTGTTCTAGTCTACTATGAATACAGAGGTTAAAAATTAGTTCTTAATTGCTAATGACACATATGTTGTCTGTGCCACAACTTGGTTTTAAAAAGTTCACCAGCTTTAAAAATGCTAAGGTTTTATTACAAAACAAGCCAAAAAACGCGGAAAAACCCCCAAACAAAAACCAAAAACAACACAAAAAAGCAAGGTTGTAAAAAAGAATACCCAACAACGAATATAAGTTTCCTTTCAAAGCAGTGCATCTGGTTCAAGGTGTCTGGTCTCCTAGGATGCTTCCTTGTAGAATCTGGGGTGTTTAGGAAGTATTGGTTTCTACCTAATGCTGAAAGGAGCAAATGTTTGGAGGTTTTTGATTTTGTTCTGAGTTGGGGTTTTTTTGTTGTTTTGTTTTTGTTTGGTTTGGGGCTTTTTGTTTGTTTGGGTTTTTTGTTTGTTTGGTTTTGGTTTTGTTTGGTTTTTTTGTTTGCTTCATGTTTGTGTAGTTTTTTGCTACAGAAAAAAGAAACGGAAGGACTGGTTGTTTGGGTGTTCCTGAGTAAATGGAGCAAGTGGATACTGTAACTGGGGGTAACAAGCTCTTCTGCAGGAGGTGTTTTGATCAGAGTTGCGGGCGGGAAGCGTGTCCTCCTTGCCCCCCCCGAGGCGCGTGAGGGTCCCCTCATGCGCGAGGCGGGAGCGCCGGCCCCGCTCATCCCCTCGGGCTGTTCCCCGAGGCTCCGGCTGGATTTTGTCGGTACGAAAGCTGTGCTTGCTGGGGAAGGGAGTGCTTTCCGGCACTTTGGGGTGCTGGGTGGTGCCGAGTGGCCTCGGCTGCGGGGTTGGGAGGCCTGGTCTCAGTTTTCTTATTCCTGAATGATGGTGCCATATCCTTCCTGCTGCTCCCAAGATGAGTTTGAGGAAGAAGGGGATTTGCCATACTGGGAAGCAGTGGCCAGCTAGTTTTGGGAAGAGAGAGCCCTCTAAGGGGTTTAGGCTGTGTCTCACAGTGCCAGGCTGGAAGCCAGGTCCATGTCTCGCCATCTGGCTGGGAAAAAGATTTGTGTCCTGTGGTTTCAAAGCAGGTGAACTCTGTGCAATATTGTACTAAGAGGTTTAAGCCACTCCTTCTGAAGTAGCAGGTCTTTTGTACTTTCCTGTTGTGCCCTCAGGTTGGTGAGGTTTTGGCTGAAGAACTTTCCTTCCAACATGTTCTTCAGATATTTCTGTGTTAATAACTGCGTTTTTATCTCATTATTGTCAATTTATCGATATTATTTGTGTAAGAATGCCAGGGAAGTCTTTTCTTCTTTGTGTACTGCTCCAGTGTTAGTTGGTTGTTAGGACTCTGCTATAGTAGTAACTCATAGTAAGTATGTGTAGTAACTCATGAATCCTACGTTAGCTCTACTGGGTTTGCCAGTATCTACATAAGAGCTGTGTATGAAACCTACTCGAGTGGTTCCTGAAGAAAAGGAGCACTTCATGCGTTTTTTTGTTGGTGGATATACAAATTGTTCAGACTCTTGTTATATTTTATTTTTTTTATGCTGTGGCTTTATGCCGTTATTGTAGTTGCTCAGGTGGCTGATGGATTAATGCATTAAGTAGATGTAGGATAACAGAGTGTGTGTGGAGAGCACAGTTAGAGCTTCCTGTTCAGGCAGTGTTTTGTTTCAAATGTTACCCCCAGCTCTGCCACAGTCGTGTCTTTGGGCCACTATGTTGGAAACGAGCACAGCAATGCTGCAGATGATGAGCTCACCCAGGTCAGCTGAGCTCAGGTAGTAGGAAAGTACCTGAGGCGATGCACCTGTGAGAGCAGTTTATCCCTGAACATTTACAGCTGCCCCTGGCTAGTTGTGTATGTCTAATGTGTTCTAATCTACTGTGAGTGCAAAGGTTACAAATCAGCCCTTAATTGCTAATGACACATATGTTGTCTGTGCCACAACTTGTTTTGAAAAAGATCGATAGCTTTAAAAATGTGAGAACTTCATGTAAAAAGACAAAAAGCAGCCAAACCCAGAAAAACCCAAGCCAACCAAACAAAACCCCCCAAAAACAACAGGAAAAAATCAACCCTGTAAAAAAAGCCTCAACAATCACCATAACTTCCCCCTCAAAGCAGACCATCTGATCCAAGGTGTCCGTAGTCTCTTAGGATGCTTTCTTTGTACACTCTCAGGTGTTTAAAAAGTATTGTTTTCTGGCTAGCACTGAAAAGAGCAAGTGTTTGGAGTTTGTTGGTTTTGTCTTGATTTTTTTACTTGTGTGTTTCATGTTTGTGTGGTTTGATGCAACAGACAAAAATTGAAGCACTGGTTGTTTGGGTGTTTGTGGGTAAATGGAGCAGGTGGATGTTGTAACAAGCTCTTCTGCTGCAGGTTGGGAAACCAGTTGCACCAGCTCATCAAAGAGCAGGCCTTCAGCTGGAAAGCTTCTTTAAATTTCTCAGTATCCCCCAGAAAAAAATGTTCGGGGTTGGGTAAGGGTTGCATTTTTGGGAAGGGGCTGCAAAATTGCTCCTGTATTGGTAGGGAAGCAGAGGCCTGGGGAGAGAGCAGCATGTTTTGATACTGAGGTTTGGAGAAAGGAAATAATTATGACTTTATCGGTTAAGTGTCAGTCATTCTGTCTCTCACTGTTTTGACAAGTTCAATTCTAGTGATTGATGGTAAAAGAGATGAATGTTGGGGGGGTTGAAGGGAAAATTCTAATGGAGGGAAGCAAGGGGAAAAAAAAACCTGTCGAAGACAATTTCTGGCATGTAGTCGGGTTCCTGGTGCAGACAGATTGGCTGATGTTGATTGTTGACAGCTTCTGCAGCTTGCTAATTACAACTGTAAAAAATTCAGGTGAATGACAGAAACTTGAAATGTTAATTCTGCTCTTTTTATTTTGCAGCTGCAACTGTTAGTTGGCTCTTGCCGTAATTGATGGACACTGCCAGTTGCTTAGACAGATGGGAATTAATGCTGGTGTTCCCATTAGAAGTTGCCATCACAATCGCGTTGGCGTTACTCTCCTGCGCAGAGTTGATGTGTGTAAGCCGGTGTGTTTGGAAGGAGCAAGCACAGCTCATACCTGCAGTCCTTCCTTCCAATGTATTGGAGCCGCCGATCCAACGCAGAGCAGATGAACTGCTTGCCAGGTTAGTACATGTAAGAACAGGCCCTCTGCTTTTCCTGAGCTTCTGGAAAAGGTTACGTGTTGATAAATATTGGCATAATCATGTGATAGTCTTAAGACTTGTGCTAAGTTGTTCTGATTGTTCCTCATCAGAAATGGCAGCTGTAGCACGCCACATGAATTGGAAACTGTAATACTGGTTGAAAGGAAAATGCTAGAGGTAGGGTAAGTAAAGCAGATAATAAGGTCAGGTAACAGGGGAAAGTAGCAGTGGAGTGGGGTTTTACCTAAATAGAGGCATAATCTAGGTGGAAGAAATGATTGGTATCTGACCTGCAAGTGAGCCTGCTTTCTGTGTGGGCGGGAGAGCTGGCTTATGCAGAATCTTGGTCTCTGAGTGTGGACTTGCTTCAGCTTTGCAGGGCTGGGTTGCTGAGGAAAAAGTGGCTCAGTTTGTCTCTCTGAGGACTTGGTACTTTCCAGAGGTTCAGCCTGTGGGGGTGAAGCAAGTCAGCACATGCAAAGGGCCACTCGTGTGGCCAGGGAGCTGCAGAAGTGTCAGTACAGGTTGAGGAAGCATTGGCTGCTTTTTGACCAGGAAGGAAAGCTCACAAATTCTGAGGTCTCATAAGCTTGTTTTTTCTTTTCTTTGTTTAGCAGCTTACAGAACACTTCGCAATGGTAAGGAAAATGCTTCATTCCTTGACGTTCAGAGGAGCGTGGTTCAGCGAGCTGGACTGTCATCCCCGGAGGCATCTGTGAGCTGTATTCAGAGGTAGGCTGATAGAACACACAGCAGCTCAGCAGGTGTACCTACCTGCTGGTTTGTTGCTTCCACAGAGGGGAGGTCATGCACACACAGCCCCCTCTCCTGCGACCAAATGGGTGCCTCCCTTCAGACCCAGCAGGTCTGCCTGGTCACTCAGACTCAGAGCGGAGGTGTGAGCAGCTGCACAGGGGCCCTTCCCCGGCCCGGCAGCAGAGCTGTGGTGCGCGTGGTTGTGCACTCACATGCAGCACAGGAGATGTTTGACGCTCAAGGTAGGAGCGTGTTGCCCACTGCTATGCCAATTACTGGATATTAATGGCAGGATAGCATGCATATGCCTAAACTGGGAAGCAGAAGGTTAATAGACGAACAGCACCAGAAGATCCCATTTATCAGTTTCTATTTATCTCTCCTTGGGAGGTGGCAGGTTTACAGTAAATACCTTCTGTCCTCCTAATTTCCTAATGATGGGGATAATGATGGAGAATGGTGAAGTCATTAACTGGGACAGCCTCTGTGCATCACTCTGTCAACCACATCTCTCCAAGACCTGCAATGAAAAGTGATAGGCCCCAGCTGTTCACCAGATTCTGTTCCCTTCCCCCCTCCCCATGCTCAGCCCCATTTGCAGGCTTAGCAATTAAAAAGAGGGGGGAAAAAGACCCAGAACTGAAAAACAAAAGCCAGTCCCTTTCTCTGCCACAGCAGTGATCGCCCAGTCTGCCCTATGCTTTGGGTGTTGGGTGCACCAGTCCAATCCCATTCCTGTGCTGCCAGTTAAATGCAGTGGTATCCCTGGGTCTGGTGGTGTCACTGGGGCCAGGTGTGCATCACGGGAGGGAGGAACGTGAGTGAAACCTGGAAGGAGATTGTGCTTCTGGGGCAGAGGCACTGCGTTTCCTTGGTAATGTCTCCTGTTCTTGCCTTCTGCTGAAGGACTTGTTAAATGCCTGTAAAAACGGCAGCAATTCTCTGTGTCTGAGTCTGTGTCTTGGGGTACTAATGGATTTTGGAGATTGCAAATAGTGGTGGGACTGTGGAGAGTGGAATGGGTGGGCTCTGGTTCTAGATCTGATTGCTTTAAGGTACAGGTTCCGCAGGACAGAAAGGTGTTCCTGGAAGATGAACTGAAGTTCAAATGAAGATGTACGTGAGTAAATTGTTGCTTTGAAAAGATTGTCTTTTTCCTGCAATGACATTACTATATTGCTGACTCCAGAGTTTTTTTTCACATTTTACATTTGTTTCACATTTGTTCAGTGGCTGTGAATTGATAACTGTTTTTAGAGAGTTAAGAGTGATTTTACATTTATAACAGCCACATGTTCATTCAGTGAGGGCTTGTGATTATTGCCACCCCTATTTCAAATACTGCATTTCTCTCAGTGAAGTTGGGACCCGCCTCCCTACCCAAGGGCATTTGGGTGATGTAATACTTTTGCAGTGAGATGTCTTCTTTTTATTTGATTTTTTTAACTGGTGCATTAAAACCATAGCTTTGCCTGTTAGCAAAGCTATAGGCATTGCTGTGGCCTGGAGTACTATATGGCAGAGCCACCCAAGATACCCTGTAGGTTGTGCCTTTTGCTACTGGCTGCCATTTGCTGTTCCTGATAGTCCAGCCTTCTGCCTGGGCATGTTCTGAAAAGAGAGCCCTGCCTGAAGTGAGGTTTTCCTGTGCATCCACCGTGTGCTGGGCTCATAAAAGAACTCTTGAGCTGTGGGAGCTTTGTGTTAAAAGGGTTCATTAACTTTCAAATGTTTCAATTGAGAAATTTCAGAGCTCTCAGCAATAGACCAGGGTGGCCGGCTCAGCCAAGAGTGTCCCCTGACAGTCAGGTGCAGATGTGATTGCTAGTCACAGCACCGTAAGAAACCTAATAGTGTCCCAGCAAGTGTCATACTTGAGCTGGAGAGGATTAAACCAGATAGCCCGGAGAGGCTGTAAATAATTTTTATTGGGCTTTAAGAGATAGGGAGACAGAGGAGCCTCTACCTTGTGGCATCCCAGGAATTCTGCCTGCAGGCTTGTAGAGTGTGTGCAGTGGTGAAAGAAAGGACTCTGGGACTGGCCTTGTTCTGAAGGAGGTGATTAACTGTTCTGAAATGGTCAGACCAGGGTAGATCATGCTGGTACAAAGGGGCGTTTTTCTGACTAATGTCTCTTCGAATGTGGTGTCTGAGCACAAAGAAATGAGAAATGAAAAGCAATGGAACAGCTTTCCTGCTTGGGAGGTGTGGTGTTAGCCAGTTAGCTTGTGAGACAAATGTTCCCTAAACACTCCCTTCTTTCTTTTCAAATTCTAGATGCTTTTCTTGGCCGTACAGACCTACAAAGATTTTATTTTTTTAATTTATTATTTATTTATTTATTTCTGCAAAGTAATCTGGTAGCTGCATATTAGGGAGAACCAAGGGATTAGAGTTTGGTTAAACACCTCCCGTACCTCTTGGTTAGTAACTTTATTTTGTGTTAAATGCCTCACAAATGCTGAGGCTGGGGAAAGGGAGTTAGATTTCCTGTGTGATAATGTAGATCATTCTGCTTATGTTGTTAGGTTGGCACGTGCTCAGGGGCTGATGTTTGACCCCAAGGCTCCTCTCCAGCCTTGATTTAGACAGGTGAGGAAGTGCCAGTTGACTGCATTCCAGCCACCCCTGGGACAAGCTGCCAGGGGCTCCCTGATGGTTTTACTGTGTTGTGACCTTTGCTGGGTTGTTTTCCAGTCAGCTGGCCTTGCCTGGCTTCTCCTGAAGACAGACTAGCCAGGGCTCAGTGAAGCCAAGCTTTGTGGATTGCAGCCCTTCCTGTGTTGTTTTGGTTCCCATAGGAGCTCTTAGCTGAAAATTAGAATATTCTTAGTTGTTAATGTTTTAACTTGCTCTAGTCTGGCTTTTCCAGACCCAGACTAGCCCCCATCAGCAGTGTCTATGGCCAGCCTCTCTGCTTTTGACACCTCAAGCCTGACACAAATCAGGCTAAACAGAACGTGGAATATTAAGCAGCTGTTGGCTTCTAAATAAGGAAAATCATATTAGTCTCTCTGTAAGCAAATCTGTATGGTAATTTCAGGAAAGCATGAGGTGACTGTTCTCCCTGGGAAGAAAGAGCTGATATATCTGCATATCCATAAACTAATCATACGAAAGACTTAAGAGCCTAGCAGGGAGGGAAGTTTTACTTCCCTGAGGAATGTTTGAGGGGGAAAATAAAGGCAGGACAAATTGTCTGTCACTATGGAAATTTGTTTGGGTAGGACAACATCTACGGCACCAAATCCTGAGAAGGATGGATGCTGTTGCAGATAATCCTGGTCAAGTGAAAGAAATGCCACTGGAGCATTGTAATATCTATCCAAAATCATTTTTTCAATTATGTGTAACATACAGCAGTGGATGACTTAAAAATTTATCCTATCTGACAGCACAGAGGCAGCAAAAATGTTAGATTCAGGACCATTTTTAAGGGTGCAGGATGTACATGCTGACCCTCTGGCTATCAGTGGTTTAAAGGAAATGAGAGTGGCTGTTGGCAGGGAGCATTTAGCTCTCTGCAACTTGCCTGACTGTTTCTGGCTCTGGCTGATACAGCCCCAGCTTCCAGAGTGAGTGTAGCAGTGTGTATCTGCAGGACAGGATGGATCAACCTAATGCTTTGTGCAGACCCTGGCTCCCAGAAACTTTATCGAAAAGGAAACTATTAAGTGTGTTTTCTTGGAGTAACTAAATTCTCTGTCTCTGCTGGGTGAGGTACTAAGGTTAAGTAGGAGGTACATCCTCTAAGTGGTAGTGCTTACAGGAGCTGCTCCGTACTGCTCAAATATGGCAGAATTCATTGATGGCTGTGGATAAATTTGAAATAAATGCAGGGGACTCTTACTCTTCCCTGCCTCTGATGCCAGGATGCCAGGGAATATTGCCCTGGCATGTGCAAAATACTGCTACTGTGAAGATAAGATGATGGCTGTTTTAAGAAGAGGCAGCTAGGTATCCAGTATATACTACTGACTGTTTTGGCTCAAAAGGAGTGTCCAGTGCTGCATTTGCCGTGGCACTAGGGTGTATAAAGGGAATCCCAAGAGCTATAGAGAGCCCCAGGCATCCCCCACTTCTCTCTCCCAAAAGAGAACTATTGTGATTTGTCTTGGTATAAAAGAACCTCCCACTCACTGATCTCAGAACCCCCCCAGTGTGAATCTGCCTCTGTTGTATTGCCTCCTGAAAATCCTTAAAATTAACTTAGGGTAGTGAGCTGAGCTTTCTCTAAGTTGTATTTCATTTGGAATTTTTACCTTTGGTGTGATACTTTCCTTACTCTGCATACATCTTTCCCCTTCCTGTCTTTGCTCCTGCTAACAAAGGAAACCTCTGCACTTCTGTCCTGCTCCTGTTTTTCAGCTAAACCATCTGTGACAGAGAGCTCAAAGCTTAATGGACTGAGCATGCAGTGTCTTTGGGGGTAACTGCTCTAAGAAATGGGCAGCACTGTGGTGCAGAGCTATGCTTACCTATTCTTCCGGCTCTCACATCATGGAGTGAATGCTCACATACTCCATCAGCTGCCGTTGGCTTGACTGCTTACACAGGCTAAATGTAAGGCCCCCAGTGAACATTTCTGTCACTTTTGCTGTTCTGGCTACTGTGCTTAATCAAAGAGCTGGAAGGAAAGCTCTCATTAGAGAGGCTTTCTCAGTCGTACAGAAGCCTCTGCTTCGCTAATCGAGGTTTTAGAGAGCTCTTGCTTCTGGTTGGGGTTGGTCTGCTTGACCTGATCTAGGCCTGAGGCAGAATGAAGCGAGAGCAGACTTAAAATAAATGATGTTTGAGCAAACACCATGGCTGGAGGTGAATGGGGTTGTGTTCTGCAAGGCTGCCGCTCGGAGACTCAAGAGTTTCCTGCTGTAGCAGCAAACTCATGGAATGTGCTGTGACTGTAGAGGTGGTGGGAACCTGTAGGTGAAAGTGGGAGTCTGCATGGGGTGAATTAATAATTTTCTGTCTGTTGCTACTGCTTGCATGTACAGCAGTGAGAGTCCAGGCCCTTGCTATCAGGCATTGCAGGAAACAAGAGTGCAAGGCAACTCGTGCTGCAGAGCCTGCAGTCTGAGTAGAGAAAGTAGATAAGTGCTGGGGAAAAAAGTGTAAAAGTGTAAAAGGCAGAGCTGAGGACAGCTCCCTGTTCAACTGTTGCACTGGCCTCAGCCCAAGAGACGTGTGGAAAAGCTAATGTTTATCTGAGAAGGGAGCATAGAAGAAAAAGGTCTTCTGTGGGAGATAGCTAATGCATCAGTAGTGCTTCAGGCTCTTAAACCTGTGTAACAGTGTAACCTAGTCCATTTTGTATATTTTATAGAATCTGAATTTTATTATCATTTTCTGTGTAGTACGCAAGTTTGTGATCCTCAAGGTTGCCACCTGAGGATGTGTGAGCAAGTGAAATTATTCTGAGGGACTTGTGTTAAATTATGTCAATATTACTTATGGTCTAAACTGTTGGTGTCCTGGAAAAGAAGTTGTGTGATGGAGGACCTGAAATAGAGCACTTGCTCTTTAAGGATGCAGGAACTGTTTATTCCTCTATGGTCAGTGACTTGAGTAAATCACACATGAACAGGGTTCCTCTGTTGTGGGCCAGAGGCAGTGTTCTTAATGCAGTGCAGGATGTGAAGCTGCCAGATTTGCTTTGGGGGACGGTGGCTAGTAGGTGGGTGTGCATTGGTGTGCCGAGTGGTGAAGGTGCAGAAGGACAGGAACCTCAAGGTCGTGTGTTCAGCTGGTGCTTCTGAAAGCCAACATGCATGCCAAGCCAAGTGTCAGAGCGGAGGTTTCAAGCTGTGGAGTTGCCTCCTGCAGCTTTTTTCGGTTGCAAAGGATTACACTGTGCTTGAAAGAGAGATGGAGTGAGCAGCTGCTGGTGGTTGGGAAATGTTGATCCTGGTTCCTGGGCAGCAAGGCTTCCTGCCAGCTGAGCAGGCTCTAGCATTGGAAGCAGCATCTGTGGTCATGTGGCAGGGTCCTCTTTTCCTATGGAAAAGGAAATGGACTGGCTGCCAAGTGCTTAGAATTAGTAATAAGCTGCCCAGAGAAGAGATGCAATGAGTGCAGGTCGCTTAGTGAGCAGGGTAAAATGGAATCCATTTCCAAATGGAGATGGATGGAGTGAAGGAGAAAGGAAGGAAGGGTCAGTGACGTGTTCATCGGATGTTGGCCAAATTCCCATACAGCATTCCTTGGTGGGCAGACTGTGTCAGACATGTCTCAGTAGGTCTGGCCTGTCAAGAGTCAGTGCGGAGACGAAGGGACAGATGGGGAAAGGAGACAGGATATAATGGAATGTACATGATGTCACCCAAGGGACATGTTAACTGAGTTTCTTTGTTACCAATTTGATGGTGTATTAGTGCCTGACCTTGCAGCGGGGATTTGGACCTTCCTTCCCTCGCTCGTTTTCCTTTGCTGTTTGCTTTTTATCTTCTTGAAGAGCAATAAAGATGCTGAACTCCAGAGAGCTCCTGTGGGAATTGAACTCTTCAGATACAGCATTGCTCTGGGAAGAGAGATGGAGGAAGTTGTGAGAGTAAGAATGAGAAGAGGTTTGTCAGGAAAGCTTGGGCGAGGAGCTGAAATCATTGAAACAGTACAACTGGTAACAGGACAGGGTAGTTGCCTTACTCATGTGTCAGAATCTTCCCACGCCATGACAGATTCTAAATATGTGACAAAACTGTGCTGAACAGTGAAGGATTCTCTGTCATATGTCTGCTATCTGTCTTCTACCTATGGAGGGGACAGGAACCTTTGTTTTGGTGGCAGAGGATTCTTGGACGAGCTGCCTGCACTGATCTGTGGGGATGACTTTGTCTGCTGGAGATTAAGGTGTGACTGAGCAGCGAGGCAGCTGGGAGGGCTCTGGGGAGCAGAGTGCAGGTTTGCAGACAGGTCTGACTTGAGTGATGGCTTGTCAGGCCTTGAGGAGTCTGGATGAGTGCCTGGAATAGAAACCCTTGGAGACTTACTGAACACAGAAAAGCCATCCGTAGCTCAGGTGGTCCCAGAGCTGCACATTGTTAGGGACTGGGTGTGCATTCTGAATGAATATCCCCGTAGGCTTGCTTTATTCTTGTACCTTGGAAGGTGCCTGCTGCTGGCCTCCAACACAGCCTGCTGGAATGAGTCATTCTTTGGTGTGAACCACAACAGATGTTCTTCTGAAAGAAACTACTGCAGAAATGCTTTAAGACAAAGGGAACTCTGAATGCTTACAAGATACATCCATGACTTCTTACTGATTTGGCTAAATTTTGCTGGCTCACTGGTTGTTGAAAGCAAGCAGAGGAAGTTCTCTGGTCTTTGGGGTTTGGAGAAGGGGGGCAAATGAGTGTTTTCCTCTGACTTAGGAGGATCCTGGGCCCTTTTGCAGTGGTAAATCAGGCTGACCTCTGCAAGACAGAGCAGGATATTGGAGTTAGTGGATGACTCTGGGAGTATGCAGAAGTTTGTAAAGATATCAGAGCTAATGATGAATGACATGTGTCATGTTCTGATTCCCTACACAACTCTGGCAAGCACGATTCAATACTTTGTTCTTACATTGTGGTTATGGCTTTGTCATCAGCCTTGCAGTGGTCTGACACTGCTCACCTTTCTGCTAAGACCTGCCTTTTCCCTAGAACAAACTATTTGTAGCCCCACGAGCCACAGAGGAGGAGGTGTGGCCTGGTCTGTCCATAGAGTAATAGACATAATGTAGTACTTTGTGGATGACGTGGGTGTAATGGCTGCAGCTTGGCTTGGTTCTTGTCACTTGAGCACTTTTTTATGTGAGCTTCCAGACCCTGGCAACCTCTGAGGAGCAGGCTGTATTCATCATGGCTGTGGGAATATGAGGAAGCCATGGACAGTTCTGGTTTGGTCCAGACAAAGTTGCCATTGTTAGTTCTCATTGTTTTTCTCACGTCTGTGTGAGACTTTTGTACCTGGAGTAGGACTTGTTCTGTCCCTTGTCTCTGAAAACTTGTGTTCACTTCACCCCTGTGGTGCTGTCAAGCCAGCAAAAGAGTATGTGATGGTTTTATGTCGTGCAGCCAGTGGGAAGGAAAATAGTGTCTGAAAAGACAGGCATTAAGTCCAATAAGGAGGAGACATTCATCATGGATGTGGAGTCATATTTTCTGTCACCTGAGACTGTGAAAAGGTGCTCGTGGTAAAGCTTACTTAAAATATGTTTAGTGTTCTGTCTTGGTTTGAGACAATTCGGAGGAGGTGGAGATGTCAGACGGAAGTGTCCTTCTTTGGATTCAGTGCCCCTGGTTTTCTCCAATACAGAGAGAGACCGAATATGTGCAGATTAAGTGAAAAAATAACTCTTTACCAAGAAGAGTGTCAACAATAATACTGATGAAACTGGGCTAAGCCAACTAGTGAGGAGAAACCTCCCAGGCCCCTGCCCACTGGACCAAAATAGGATGGTGGCTGGCCTCCCCCCACCTGGAAAACCTGGCAGGAACGGCTGGAGAATCAGTGCTGCAGTGAGGCTGCAGCGCTGGCACAGGCAGTCAGAGTAGGGCTATGGATCCCCCGGGCAACTGTAAGGACCCACAAGACACCTGCTGAATCCAGTGATGAAACTGAGGCGCTGCAACCTCAGTGCTCGTTGGTCAGAATGGTGGCTGCAGTCTCATCAAAGTGGTGGTTGCAATCCAGATCTGTCGAGGTGATGGCAGAGGTCCTGTGTAGTGAGGGAAGAAGACTCCTGATGTTGAGTGAAGTCCGAGTGTGGTCTTGTATTGGGCTCTCGTGGGACAAGAAGTTCTTCACTGGATGATGTAATACCTGTGTGGGATATTTCAGAAGTCTTTGACACTTTCTATGATGTTACAGCTGTCTGTTACCTCAGGACAGGTGGATCCATTATGGCCATCAACAGAGATGAATATCTTCAGGCTGTGTGTGTGTGTGTGTGTGTGTAAATTGTCCTGGTGCTTCCCCGAGGGGAGTTACCGCAGATGAGTCATTTGTGCAAGTACAAGGAAACAACACCCAGCCCAAAGCCTGAGGTGGCAGGTGTGCATGCCCTCAACACCTGGATTGTCTGAGTCATCAGCATTTCAGTCTTTCACACTTGTGGATACATTCTTAGCATAATAGTACCACTCCTATCTTAAGTTCCTGCCACATTTTAAATTAGTAGACGTATCTAGGGAAAAGGGAAAAGGTGTGTACCAGAATCTTTGTGTTACCCAGGACAGTGTTCCTAGAGACATTTGGGGTTTCTTTCTTCAGCTGAAGATCTCTGTGTTACCAAGGTACACTGGAATTTAACCTATTGTTAAGAGCAATCAGCTAATGCTAAACCTTGCTTATTTAAATAACTATATATACCGAAAGTGAAGGTGTGTAGTAAATTATGGAAAGCTTCAAGAGGGAACCTGACCAAGGTTGTACACAAGTAACAAAATGTGGAAAATAACTAATGAAATAGGGAAAAAAAGGATTGCTTGAATGTCATCATCTGGACTAAGATGTTTTTCTTTGGATATTTTTTAGTTGCTATTTCAGTTTACTGGACTGTGATAAGTATAGTGGGTACAGTAGAAGATGAATGCTGAGTCTGAGATGGAAAAGAGAATGTTTAAATAGAAGACATGTTTAATTAAAGAAAAATACCTAAGAAACTCCAGTGTTTCCTAGAGGCCCAGAATGTGAGATTCAGCATAGGAGTTAAAATCCTGATCCATGTCAAAACCTGGAGTTATTTTTCTGCAGAAGAATGTTCAGCCCATCTGTATCTGGAGGTTACTGAGATTGGGGAAAAAAAGGTGAGGGTCAAAACTCTGAGCTGGATCTAAATGTGCCCCAGGCAGAGCAGTCATTGGCTTCTGTACATCTCACAGGGAGATACGGCTTGACAGGGCGATAAGGTTCTGACCTGACCCATCCTTAGATTTCCCGTGTACTCTGTGATGAGGTAAAGCAGCCATGCTGGAGCAGAGCCCATGTATTGGTCAGGAGTTTCCAACTCCCCATGATTGCCTTCAGAGCTCTACATAGCTGAGTTTGCATCATCATAAATGAAACTCCTGCTGAGGTCAAAGGGCAGGAGTTCATCTATAAATGAACATTCCTCAACCTCTAGTTACATGTTGGACCTTTGAGATCAGCTCTAACAAGCGTACTGCAAACAGTGGATTAGTTTGTTGCATGCCACTGGGAAATTAAATGTGTCTTCCAAGTTCTTGTCACTTAAAATTTGCTGTGACATTTACTGCGTTTGACAAAATGCAGGAAAGAGGTTCCAATTAACCAGGACATCAAACAGTGTGAATGGTGCAGTTTATTTTGGAGGCATGATATTCAGAAAGGTCAGTCTCTCAGTCAGCTGACCTCGACCATTTGTAGTGTTGGCTATGGCTAATGAGCACTCGGCTCAGTCTGTAATGGGGGCTTTATGCAGGGAAAATCCAGATAATAGATGTGTGGGGAAACTAGCTCTGTCTGATGGCTGTGCACTGGGGAGGGGGTTTGTGAAAACTCTAACATAGGAGGAAAAAGGAGCCTGAATCCAGTGTTAAAAGCTAGGAGCATCTTCACAGTCAGTCCCCTTCCACCTAAGTGGAAATTGTTGCTGTCTTAGTGCTTCTGCTCGGGCTTGTGAACCGCACAGAGCTGTATGTAACAGGATGGCGATTTCAACTTGGAGCAGGGTAGTATTTCCTTGGAAAAGGTAAATGGAAGCATATTGCTGCATCAACATGATGCACTCACTGTTGACAAAAGCTTGAAGGGAAAGTGGCCAAGTCTCACGATAGACCGATGTTCTTCAGCTCCTTTAAATGTTGGTATCAGTCAGTTGCAAATAACTCATGACTTGTACCAAAATTCATGGCACCTGCTGGCCCTTTATGTGGGCTTGTTCCAGCATTAGTATTGGGCTGTAGTATTTCTGTATGTCTGAAAACAGACATTTGGACTGAGCTTCCATAAATGATGCTGGATTTATACCAAGTTCACCCTCAGGAAACAATTAACATGTAACTGGCCAATAACATTCCCTTTCTGCTCAAAGTTTTGGGTGTTTGGGTTAAAAATGTGTCATTTTCCTATGTCCCAACAAGGCCATGTTTCACAAAAACTGTTAAATGCACTCTACCTAAGTTCCTCTGTTAAGTGAAACCTGGCAGGGCAGTACTGGTTGGCAAGTGAAAACTCTTGGAGCTGGTCGCTCTTAGTCCACCCTGGTCTTGGATAAGTGCTTGGGAGTGCCCATTTGGAGGAAATGAAAAATAATTCAGTATGCTACTGGGATCTTTCTGAACTTCACTTAAGACGTAAGGATGAACATGTTCTTTGCTAAGTATTCCTGCTTCTTAATACTGTATTTGTTTTCCTTCTTTGAACTTAGCTCCCTGTATCCACAGTTTCAGGGGGTGTTCAGGACTTGCAATTCAAGTACCTGGAATATACTGTGCTGTGAGCTAGGCATCCTTTAGGCAACAGGATTTACCTTATCCACTTTCCACTGGGCTCTGTTGAATTCAGTGAAAGTGGGACTCCAGCTTCCACTGGCATTGGGAGAGGGAATGATGAGAGTAAGAGGACTTGGACTGTTTTAAGTTGGTGGCAGTGGGATCACGGGCCAGAGCAATAATAAGATAGTTGGCTTGAGTGTCTGGGAGAAAATAAAAACAAGAACTTGGAATGGTGGAGTCTGATACTGTCAGGCTTTTAGCTGAAATGGGCTTCCTGAGGCACAGTGCGAAAGAAATAATTTCGTGAATTAAATAGAACTCCCTTCATACTGAAGTCATAGCAACCAAATGACCTCACACTGCAACTTTACTCCCCCCTCCTTTTAGTTGTTTCTTTACTTTCCTACAATATGTTATTCTTGTTGTTTGGAATCATGGGGAGGAGGGAGAGAGGGGAAACCAACCTGTGTAAAAATTAGCTTTGAGTTATTCCATCTGTGGACTCTTAATTTTGTCATGAAAACAGAGAAGCCTGGCAAGAAGCAAGCTTGTGACTGGCTCCATGTATCCTCTTGTCTGGAGCTGGGTAAGGAAGTGTGGCATTTAGAATGAAAGCAAAAGCTTCATTTCTGGAACTCTGAGTGTTTGCCCAATTCTTT